GGCGCCCTATTCCTTTGAGCCATGGGCACAGCCCCTTCACTTTCTTGATGGTATGCTTAGAATCACAAATGTTTTTGATTTGCTAAGTCCAATCTTTTTATTTTTGTCACTTGTATTTTTGGTATGAATATCCTATCTAAGAAAGCATTCCTTAACCAAAATCTTGGAGGTTTACGACTATGTTTTCTTCCAAGAGTTTTATAGTTTCTGTTCTTAACATATAGATCTATCCATTTTGAGGTAATTTTTGTGCATGGTTTAAAGAATGGGTCCAACCTCATTCTTTCACATGTGGTTACTCAGTTGTCCCGACACCATCTGTATGAACATATGTTTTCTTTTCTTTTTAAATTCTTTCTCTCTTTAATATCGGAATCTTGTTGTAGACTTTGAAAGAGAAATAATAATTCTCTGTTCATCCTCTATTCCCACTCCCCAAAAGTGATCACTGTAAACTCTTTTAGCTGTTTCTTCTGGTTTTTACCTCCATGTTTCCAAATAGCATGCTTATTTGGCAATTTCTTGAGTAATATTTAAGGCTCAATATGTTTGATTTTGATACATTTTGCAGGCATCCTCAAACCACGGCCCGTGGGCCACATGTGGCCTGCTGGGTGTTTTTGCCCCCACTGCCTGTCCTGCTTAGCAGCCGACTCATCCCGGGGCCTGCAGTCCAGCTTTCCAATGGTCTGAGGGACAGTGAGCTGGCCCCCTGTTTAAAAAGTTTGAGGACCCCTGCATTTTTGTATAAATCCTTACTGTGCTTCAGTATTACGACAGTTTTTGCCGCTGAGCCCAGCCGTGTACTCAGTTGACGTTTCCTTTCTTAGACTTAATTCCACCCCGTTTGTGTTTTCATTTGCTTGCTCTTTTCAGCAGCCTGGCTGACCTGTCCCTCATCTCCAGCAGCTGATTGAAGTGCCTACCAACTCGGTTCTCTACCCAGTCAGACCTGGTAGATAATCTTCCTGTTCCTTTTTCCTCCTCATCTTCCCTGCTGCTCTGTGAGCAGACCTGCTAGACTCCTCGCCCTGCTCCATGCATCCCAGACGGGTTCTTCTCTGGGATTGCCGGGTTCTTTTCTGGGACTCCCGGCTTCCGGAGGCTTCGTGTTGCTCTTTAAGGCTCTTTGTCTTCTCCCGGGTTCTTCTCTGGGACTCCCGGCTTCCGGAGGCTTCCTGCTGCTCTTTAAGGATCTTTGCCTCCTCCCACTTAGCTCTTAGCTCACCTCTTAGCTCTTAGCTCCTCCCGCACCTCTGAGCTTAGTGTGTTTCTGCCAGAGGTCCTCAACATACAGTCAAGGAATTGAAGACCGGACTAATGAATTCCCTTGTCTGATGTCCTACCCCTAGTATTTTCTTTTCCTACTGGAGGCTACTGGAAATGAATAAAAAAATCAATTAAAATGCTGAGACAAAGTAGCTCACTTACTCTGAAAGGCCGTCTTGTTCATTAACTGGAATACTGGGAACCCAGAAGTCACCAGGAAAGCCCAGAAGTGGTGCTGCACCGCATGCAAGGTGGGACAGTTACGTTCCTGAACTCATCCTAGAATGAGTTCTTCTTCCAGGCTCATCTTCAGAGTCCTCTCCTTGGCCATCTGCTGACCACAGTGATGTGCAGCAGTGAGGTAGGTAGTATTTTCTAGGATGAGTTCATGGACTTAATTGCCAGGCCTCCGTATATGGTTGCTGAGGCCCAAGCTCCTTCCTCCCACGTCTCTATCTTCAGGCAGGACCTGGTTCTCCCTCTCTTTTTAATTTGTATTTATTTATTTTTTTAAAATTCCAATAGATTTAGGGGTACGAGTGGTTTTTGGTTCCATGGATGAGTTGTACAGTGGTGAAGTTTGGGGTTTTAGTACACCCGTTACCCGAATGTGAAAGCAAGGTGTTGGTACACTGTTGGTGGAAATGTAAATTTGTACAACCTCCATGGGAAATGATGTGGGGATTTCTCAAAGAACGAGAAAATCTACCGTTCAATCCAGCAATCCCACTCCTGGGTATCTACCCAAAAGCTGCTTCTTTTTGACATGTAATTCTAAAGCACTTGGCTAGTTGGCTTTC